GTTACTGGATTAAAAAATATTCCAGAAATGGGCAATAGGATGAAAGACTATTTGTCAGGAAAAATAAACAGCATTATTGATATTGAAGACATGGAAGAAATAGGAATTGATGACACCGCAGAAACGAAAATAACATTTGAACATAATGGTAAAAAGGCTATGGGGAAAGCATCAAACAATTTTACTATTCATCCATCATATTATATAGACCCAAATGATTTAATGTTCGACGAGATGCGCCATGCAACATTCGATAGCATGAACAAATATTGCTTAAGTTTTTTAGAAAAAATGAAAACAGAAATCAATTACAAAAAGTCAAAGTGATGGCATATAAATTAGATATAAGCTCGATAATAAAAGATCATTTAAAAACGATTATAAATGACAATACCGGTAAGCCTGACTTTCGAGACTGGTGCTCATTTTTATGTTTACCAGTAGCTATATCTATTTGTCTCATATATTTCAAAATTTTTCTAAATGACACATATATTGGAGCCATAGTTAGTGGACTTTCGATATACATTGGTTTGTCTCTAAATTTGATTGTTCTATTATTTGGTATAATTGAAAAAAACGGAATATCGGATTTAAGAAAAGATGTTGTAAAAGACATGATGGCTAATGCTTCTTTTTCCATCCTCTTATCACTGTTTACAATCATTTTTTCTCTATTAACCCAAGTTGGAAAATCCTTTAAATTCTACCTATATGCATCTCATTTTATTACTTATTTCTTGTTAGCTGAAATGCTATTGGTCATTATTCTTTTAATAAACAACATGTACTACCAATTTCAAGCATCAGGAAATCAACCTTGATTTACAAAGCTAGAATTGGTTACAAAAAGAAGTTATGAATGTCATCATGCTAGAGGAACAGGCTTTCTATGAACTCTATAACAAGCTTGTTTCCGACATTAAACAACAGTTAGGCGCCAAGCCCCGTGACAAGTGGATCGATTGTGACGAGGCAATGGCCATGCTTAAAATCAAGTCTAAAACCACGTTGCAGAAATTCCGAGACGAAGGCAGCATTCGTTATAGCGAACTCGGCCCGCGCATGTTTCTGTATGACACAGACAGCATCGATGCCTTTATTGAAAAACGCGCTAAAA